ACAGCATTTGTTTTTGTTTTTCACAAGCCAGTACCGATCAAGTGTGCTGGTGGGATTAGGAGGGTCACCTAAGTCGCTAAAGTTTACCAAGATTAATGTCAAAGTTGGTGGATACATCCTCTATGCAAATTTGAATCAAACCAGTAGATGGTGATGCTAAATACAAATTTAGGGGATCTCGAACGTTAGATGGATCTATTCTCTTGGAGCTACTGAAGTACCAAATTCCCTGGAAATTCATACAAAAGTTTTTGAGATATTTTAGTCTAGATCATATAGTGGTGTGTCAGCAGACCTTTAGCACAGCGAACAAAATCTATACACTATATCTAGTCTGTTGTTCATTTTCTCCACAGGAACACACTGTAAATTCAAAACCTGTTTAGCATTAGTGCATAGTATGGAACTGGAACACAGCTTACAAGCAAAGTCACAGTTGATTCCACTACCAGGTGCAATGCATATCCAGCATCTTTAGAAAGATCATCCAGATTAATGAATAGCATCTCTAGTCATCTGCAACAAGCAAAGGGCTGCATGATAGACTGAGCTGTCTGTTTTTATGCATACACCACTCATCAGGCAGCATGGAAACATAATTTAGTATGCTATCTTTAGATGTATGATGTTGTTGACAGCAGTCAGTGTCTTCATAGCAGAAAGTGTCTCATTCTCCACAGATGATGCTCTGGATTAGGTTAGAAAAATTGCTTTTTACTCACCTTCTCTCTGGTACAATTTACATGAGAGATAGTCGTTGAATTCACACGATTTCACACCAACAATCAATAAAAAATATACAACACTGAGTATTAAAGTCAGCCAGCTAACGGAATCCAGGTAATAATTTGGCAAAAGCTGTCATGCAAACTTGTCATGTTCCCTCTCTGGGTCCTGCTTTCATGAGGAAGAACAGCTGCTACAGTCCCGCCGACTGAGCAAAGCGAGGTTACGCAGGCTGGCCGAAAGATGCATAATGAATGACATAAGCTTCATATGCCAAAACCATATGAAAGCTTACCTTATATGAGAACATACATTCACAATTCTTGAGTTTGGACTGGGGGAGAGAGAAGAGAAGAGGGGTTAACAAAAAGTTTACATGGAGTTATATGTGTGCACCAGGGAAAACTGTTGAGTTATTACTGAACTCTTTTATATGAGGAGTTAACTGTGTGGCATAAAGGAGAGGCTGGAATCTGTTTATGATGGAGACACTGAATAATACGACACAAAAACATCACAGCTCTATGTGTTACGCCGACTGATGTGTGACTGTGTGCCGAGGTGGTGTGTTGTGACGATGAACAGGATGGCTGGATGTTGTGGTGATGGAAAAGTGTCACCAGATATTATGTGCACTGCACACACATGAATGGATGATTATTATTTGTATACGTTTTGAAAAACAGTGTCAAGGAAACTGTTGCACCAGGTATTCATAAATTCAAACTTAGCGCAGTTACTTT